TCAGATAATTTTCACTTTAAAACTTCTCAGAACATTTAATACAATACTGTGTATTATGAATTTTCAAGGGAGGAGGGGTGTTGAAAATGGAGTTTTTCCATGAAACATATGTTAACCTCTCAGGGCATTATGTTTCATGAAACAACTTAGGAAACTTTGCTTTAGCATTTCATATGAAGAAGAGATGATGGAATCTAATAGCTTTTCCAAGGCTCTAAAAATTTGAAATCCTGGTATTTATTTCCTTAAAAAATGTACCTAATTGTTTCTGAAATATTACTTCCTAGACTGAGAGAGATTTCTGACATTGCCAAAAGGCAAGTTGAAATTTTGAATGTACAACAACAGTCCAGGGAAAAGGAAGTAGAGTCCATCAGAATGCAACTGTTAGACTATCAGGTATGCACAGCATTGGCTCTTCTATATAGATTTTTTTCTTTTTTCTAAATTCACATTAGATATTGGGATGATTTTATAGTTTTAACTAAAGAATATATCAAGGAGGCTCATATTCTTATTAATTATGGTCTGATTAGGTTACAACTTAATGCGAAAAACCATAATACAGAAAAGCATTTAAATGCCTATAAATGCATTGTGCTGACTGCTGATCAGAGTTAAGACAGTGGAGAGAAATAGTAAGCCTTTCATAACAATATTTTCTCTTATAGCTTTTCACATATTCTCACATTATTTTTTTAAGAATTAATAAAAAAGAAAAAGAAATGTGTGAGGATCCCTGAGTTGATCTGTCAAGTACTAATAATTAGTGAAAAACATTGTACACATCAGTATTATAGTTTACATATGGAAGTTAAAAAAAAGCCACCGTAATATCCCAACTGTTACTTAGCCAGTTGCCAGATTTGGATTTTACACATATTTGATTCTGCTTTTCTGCTGTTTTTGCTTTTTAATTTTTTGGTAATTTGTATTAAAGCAAGGTTAGATTTTTATAGGATCTCATGTAGCACACTTTTAAATGTTTAGTAAATTTTGATATTAAATTCATGATAAATTTCATAGCAAAAACTTGAAACTTGGAACAAATATATGTATTTTTTTATATTAGGCACAGTCGGACGAAAAGGCACTAATTGCCAAGTTGCACCAACACCTTGTCTCTCTTCAAATTAGTGAGGTTACTGCTCTTGGTAAGTTGGAGTCAGTCACATCAAAACTGCAGAAGATGGAGGCCTATAATTTGCGTTTAGAACAGAAACTGGATGAAAAGGAACAGGCTCTCTATTATGCCCGTTTGGAGGGGAGAAACAGAGCAAAACATCTGCGCCAAACAATTCAGTCCCTGCGACGCCAGTTCAGTGGAGCTTTGCCTTTGGCACAGCAGGAGAAGTTCTCTAAGACCATGATTCAGTTACAAAATGACAAACTGAAGATAATGCAAGAAATGAAAAATTCTCTACAAGAACATAGAAATATGGAGAACAAAACAATGGAGATGGAATTAAAGTTAAAGGGGTTAGAAGAGTTAGTAAGCACTTTAAAGGATGCCCGGGGAGCCCAAAAGGTAAAACAGTGATTTTTAACTTAAGTATTTCCAGAAGAGCTACATAATTTTAAGTTCTTAATATGTACCTATACGAGAAACATTTAACATATATTTTAATTTATTTAGAATTTACAAATTAGGGGTTTTGCCTATTTGAATGTCTGTTTGTAAAAATTAAATGAGATTCTTCTAAGCAATGGTTTTAGTAGAAGTACTTAGTTTTTAAAATAACAGAACTTTAAATACTCTTAAGAAGTTTATATATTAATAAAATACTAATTATAATTTTTAAACATTATAGTGCTTATCAATTCCATTCTACTCTTTGTAATCATTATTTGTTTAAAATTTACAAGTAGTAGGCCTGCATGTATTTTTAATATAATTTTGTTTTAACCTTTTTTTGAAGCAATTAAGTGAAAAATAATTATCTTGCAACTAACTTTATTCTTTAGGCTAGAAATATAGGGTGGCCCAAAAAATGTATACACATACTTTGAATCATTATAAAGGCATTGTTTATTAAAGTACATTTCATTTTCAAAATTGAGCTATCAGCTGTTAAAGTGTATATACATTTTTGGGGGACACCAAAATAATTTTATATTTTATTTTATTATAGTGTCTATTAATTTGAATTAAAATCATTAGGATATGGAGAAATATTTATTTATATAGCATTGACATTTGTATGTATAATTTATAAATCTTTAGGTAATCAGTTGGCATATGAAAATAGAAGAACTCCGTCTTCAAGAGCTTAAATTAAATCGAGAATTAGTCAAGGATAAAGAAGAAATAAAATATTTGAATAATATAATTTCTGAATATGAGCATACAATCAGCAGTCTGGAGGAAGAAATTGTGCAGCAGAACAAGGTTTCATTTTATATTTATTTTGATGTTTTGTTGCTAAGATTTTCTTTTTAAAAATTTTTTTTATTGATTTCAGAGAGGAAGGGAGAGATAGAAACATCAATGATGAGCGAGAATTGGCTGCCTCCAGCAACCCTAGGCATGTGCTCTGACCGGGAATCAAACCATGGCCTCCTAATTCATAGGTCGATGCTCAACCACTAAGCAACACCAGCTGGGCTGTTGCTAAGATTTTAAACATAAGAACAAACCTAACCGGTTTGGCTCAGTGGATAGAGCATCAGCCTGCGGACTCAAGGGTCCCAGGTTCGATTCCAGTCAAGGGCATGTACCTTGATTGCGGGCACATCCCCAGTGGGGAGTGTGCAGGAGGCAGCTGATCGATGTTTCTCTCTCATCGATGTTTCTAACTCTCTATCCCTCTCCCTTCCTCTCTGTAAAAAAATCAATAAAATATTTAAAAAAAAAAAAAAAAAAGAACATTGTATAAGTGACTACATCACTCTCTTACTTGAATTTAGCTTCCATTATTATGGTATAAAATATTCTAATTTCTGTTTTCTAAACCATTATACAAATGCATATTTATTTATGTTGAAACTATGAAACTAGAAGCCCAGTGCACGAATTCATACGCGGGGCGGGGCCGGGGGGGTGGTTAAGCTGGCCTGGTCCCAATCGGGGTGGATCAGGGCCCAATCAGGGCCAGGCCTGCTGGGGGGAGGGGCCGTGGATGGTTGGCTGGTGGGCCCCACCCCAATTGGGGTGGGGGGCCAATCGAAGGTCAGCAGCCAGGGTAGGGGCCATGGAAGGTTGGCCAGCTAGCCCTACCCTCGATTAGTGTGGGGGGGCCGATTGGGGGTGGAGCTGGCTGGAGGGAGGGGCTGTGGGCCAATTGGGGTGTTGGGGGCTGATCAGGGGTGAGGCAGGCCATGGGGAGGGGC